CCTTGTTTATTAAATTGACATTAGATTTTATCTTTTTACTTTTACTACCTGGTTACTCAATAAATGTTTTATAAATTTTATTAAATAAAGATATTTGAATATTTTCCGACACACATCCGGAAATTTCTTAAAATTTTCGATACATCTCCAAAATTACAAATGTGATACGATTTCGGAAAATTCTGAAAATTTTTATGCTCTATGAATTCACAATTGATTATCAAATTCAACTATATTTTTTGAATTATATTTGAAATACAAAATGAATATTCTCTAATTAATGAAGGTAAATAGGTAAAAATGAATACTTTTTGAACTATACTCTATTTCCTTAAATATGTATCATATATCACAAAAACTGAAGGTAAAAAGGTAAACTCTATTCAATTGATTTACTTTCAATAATGATTTAATATTATTATCTAATTAATGTTAAAAAAAAAAAACAAAATACGACCCGACCCACATATATAATTGCTACTGCCGAACTTTATTGACAATGAATATGTACTCGAAATGGCTACATCAACAAGTAGTCCCCAAGATGCTCAATCAATATTGTGAAAGAATTTTGTGTCCCCTGAAAATTTTCTTTTTCTTTTGATTTTCTTTTTGATTTATCTTTCCTACAAAATTTCTCTTTGATTCAAAAGAATTAAAAAAAAAAAAATAACTAATGGCCCTGCACCTATGTAGCACAGACACGGGAACGCCGAACAAGGTGAAAAGGGAAAATGGATACGGGGAAAGTCAGTTTTTCAAGGAGTTGGATACGGAAACGTGGGGAAACGTGTAAATATTAAAAATATAGGGGTACATCCATAATTTCGAAAAAAGGGTAAATTACAATCACCCCTGAGGTATGGTCAAATTATGAAAACCTCCCTCTTGTTTGGATAATTACATCTACCCCTCTCAACTATGAATCTTCTTACACCTCCACTCTTATGGTGTCAAATTCAACATAATCATCTAGATTCCGTGGAATATGCTCTAGTTTGTACTCGTTTTGGGTTAAAAATACAGTTTCTGATGCACCACAATCTGATATATACAAGCCAAAAAATACATCTTATGATCATCTTGCTTCAGAATGTGGAGCTCGAATAGGATAAAACGGGTACAAAAGTGATAATATTACTTATAATCAAGAAGATTCCATTAAATTTGAAACCGCAAGGGTGGACGTGTAAGAAAATTTATAGTTGAGAGTGGTTATTGTAAGTACCCAAACAGGAGGAGGGTTTTCATAATTTTACCATACCCTAGGGGTGGTTGTAATTCACCATTTCAAAAAAATATATAATTTATATCTACTAATTATATATAGTTTACAAGTTCTGAACCGAATTATCATTTCACAAATTACAACGGGGGAAAATTATGTATTATTTCAGTATTGAATTGACGTCTACAAAGACTATTAAAACACCACTAGAAGTGAAAAAAAAGCATAAATTTACGATTTTTTTAAGCGTGAGCAATTTTGAGTCTTTATTTAAAACGGGTGTAGGATTTTTTTGGGTGGAAACGTATTTCAATTTTTTTTATTATCAGAAACATCCCCTAAACTTTTAAATATTAATGGATTGTTTCCGACATGTGACATGGCGTTTCAGTTTCCAAAACGTTTCTAAAACGTGGAAACGCATGTGTATAGAAGTTTTCATGCATCATAGCCCCGCGCACATCACAAAAATATTTGAGGTAAAGTATCATAAGTCTGTTAAAAAAAACAAAAAAAAAAAAAGAAAAAGAAAAAAACGAAAAGAAAAGAAAGAAAAGAAATGTACCGAGATTAACACAAGAATTAATTTCATACGCAAATTCCAGTCAAAATCCGGATAAAAAAACCTAACTTTAATTGTCAAATTTTGAATAAAAGAGACATGAAAATTGAAAAATAATTATTAAGGAGTATGGTCCCTCATGCATCAGGGTTCTCACATTTTGGGATAGTTTCATTAAATTTCACTTGTGACAGAATCCGGAAAATAAATAATAAAATAAATAATTAAATAACTAAATAAATAAAAATGATTTAGGTGAAAAGCCTTAATCAACATTATTGAATGATTGATTAGACAATATTCAAAACGGCACAAACTCAATAGTGAAACTTGTTAATCAGTCCCCACTTTTCCAATTATTTATTTAATTCTTGTTCAGTTTGCTTTACATAAGTGTACCCATTTTTGCTCAACAGTTTATTTTTTATTTTTTATTTTCCATCTAAGAAACTAACTTATCATAAATTTCCAACTTCTTGAATTGGAGAAAAAATAATTGCTTTAAAAATTGTACACAAAGGGAAGAGCCGGGTTGAAGTTAGAAGAATATGATTTTACTTATTTTGTAGGGGTATTATGGTCATTTATCTTATTTTCAGCGAAATGGAATTTTCGAGTTCGGCCAATTTCAATCCAAAAGTATCCGAATTTGGAACTATATTGTTCATTCCGATTTTCAATTTTTCCGAATTTATTTTGGAACAAAATCGAAATTATATATAAAATTATCGAAACTTCCAATTCCGATTCGATTTTAGTTCCGAATATTTCGATTATTTTTCGAAATATAATATAGTTTTATGATATATTTTGTAATTCCACAATGTAAATTACGTTATATTTTATATGAAAAATAGAAATACCGAAGGGTTAACTAAATGAAAACCCTAGAAAAGATTAATGGGTATCATAAATTCACCGTGTTTCAATTTGTTGTTCCTACATGTGATTTTACTTAATGCATTTTGTGGAACTTTCTTTTGAATTTTCATGCAAAACTTCAAACAAGATAGAAAATATTGTGAAAATTCCCATTATGTCCGAATTTGGGACCAAAAATTTATAAACTAATGTAATTTTCAAAATTTTCGAAATTCTACTAATTCCAAGGCATTCCGAACGGGATTATTTTTGCATTCTGATTTTTTGGAACGAAAATTATAACCATTTTTTGTACTTAAAAAAATGAAAATTTTCCGAAAAAAAGACCATTTCCAATACATTCCATACAATTTCCACCACCTCAAGGAAAGTGATATCATTAATTACCTAATAAATTTAGTTTAACCCAAGATTTTATGTATAGTATGATTGCACAACTGGATGTTAATATGACTAACTATCAATAATCCAAGAAGAAAAAATGAAAGTTAGAAAGGATATTTACATCAACAACATTTTCAACTTGTAATTACATAAATTCTTATGGGCCTGATTGTACTATTTATTTATTATTAGGCCCAAATATTATCTTATTCAGGACCCAACATATTTACGTCACCTGCCAACCTCTTAATTTTGGGTAAATTACAAACACCACCTGAGATATGGTCAATTTACGAAAAAATTCCTCTTGTTTGGATAATTACATCTACCCTCCTCAACTATGATTTTTTCTTACCCGTCCACCCTTATGGTGTCAAATTTAACATAATCATCTAGATTCTGTGAAATGTGCTCTAGTTTGTACTCGTTTTGTGTAAAAATACAGTTTCTGATGCACCACAATCTGATATATACAAGCCAGAAAACACATATTATGATCATCTTGCTTCAAATTGTAGAGTTCGAATGAGATAAAACGGGTAGAAAAGTGATAATATTCCATATAATCTCGAAGATTCTACTAATTTTAATGAGTTGAGGGGGTGGTTGTAATTATCCAAACAAGAGGGGGGTTTACGTAATTTGACCATACCTCAGGGGTGGTTGTAATTTACCCTTTAATTTTTCCTTCTTTTCTTACGGAAAATGTGGGTAAAAGATTAATCGGATTAAGATGACGGAGAAGAGAAAGTCTGAGTCACCCCTTTCTCAGTTATCCCCCATTTCATAAACTTGATTGCCAAGTTTATAAAATTATTATTATATCTATACCCCAACTTTATCCCATAATAACACAACAGTCCTTCTTTTCTTACGGAAAATGTGGGTAAAAGATTAATTATCTATAACAAATTACTAAAGCCAAGAGTATATCATATATAAGGTATGTTATATTTACAAGCAAAGAAAAGAGCAGGTTACCCATATTTTTAAGTAGAGCGCATGTTAGCCATGCGAATAAGTAGATTATTGAAATTTGAATGTCAAATTGAAGAAATTAGTTTAAATATTTTTATTTTTACCTTTTTAAAAATAAGAAAATATATTTTCGGTTTATCGGTATCGAACCGAAAAAACTGAATTAATTCGGTAAAAAATTGTACCGTACCAAGTAGTTCGGTTTGGTAAACGGTACACTTTTTTTTAATGCCAAAATTTCAATTTTTATCGAAATTACAGTACAGTTCGGTGCGGTTTTACCTAATATCACCATTAGCAAAAAGTATTCCCACTTAACATAACTGTGCATAATCAATTTGTTCATTTATTGGATTAAATAATTAATGTAAGATCTAAAATCAAATCTGACAATCAATGCTGAAAGTATACACATCTTCTAACTTATTCCAGCACATAGTTTGTAAATATACTGACCAATTGCAAAGGATCCAATGCAACTCTTGCTTTCAATAATCCAATTTTACCCTTATATATAGCACCACAAATGCACGTGACCTTTTCTAATTACCACTTGCGTATTCAAATCAAATTATTTTAGTTGAATTAGTGCTTAAGGTTGACCTAGTTGATGGAATTAGAAAGTATACAGTCAAATAATCTGAGTTCGAATTCTCTTATCAACACTTCTTATGCTGAATATATCGAACATTACTTATACCCAGTGTAGTTTATATTTTTCGTATAATTTTCAAATAACTGTATAAAAGTTGAAGTTTATAAAATATAATATATAGTTTGAAGCAAATTTTCATTCCTTATAATAAATGTTGTATGGGGTTAAAGTATGAAGATACGACCAAAATATGTAGCCACTTGCAAAATGCACATTTTAATTGTCGGCCACTCCTATTTAAATACACCATTTCTTCTTTGACCAAATTTTTTTTGATGACTATACTTTGTGATTTGAACTTCCCATTTATAAAATAGCATTATCCACAACTCCAAATAATTCTTCCCAATCTTCTATAAGTAGACTTTACTCAATTAAACATCAAAATATTATCAAGAAGAAAAATGTTGACATTGCCTAGTTTCTTAGCTCATTCTTTCTTGTTCATCTTCATCAATATTCTTCCCTCATTCACTCAAGGCATAGTACCTCCTTCCCAAACTTTCAATTTCGTAAACGAAGGATCGTTCGGAGACTACATCGTCGAATACAATGCCAACTATCGAGTTTTGTCCATCGCGAATTCTCCCTTCCAAATGTGTTTCTACAACACCACGCCGAGTGCCTACACTTTGGCCTTACGTATGGGCACCGTTCGATCCGAGTCATTGATGTATTGGGTTTGGGAGGCGAACCGCGGCAATCCCGTCGGAGAAAATGCCACGTTCTCGCTCGGCGCTAGCGGCAACCTACTCTTGGCCGACGCCGGTGGCCGGATCGCGTGGCAATCGAATACGGCCAACAAAGATGTCGTGGGCTTCAAGTTGCTACCGAATGGTAACATGGTGCTCTACAACTCCAAGGGCAATTTCGTCTGGCAAAGTTTCGATTCGCCAACCGATACCCTACTAATGGGCCAATCCCTAAAATTAAAAGGCCCAAACAAGCTTGTGGGCCGACTTTCTGAGACGGAAAACAAGAATGGGCCTTACAGTCTGGTCTTGGAGCCCAAAAGATTCGCAATGTACTACACGAGTAAGAACTCTCCTAACAAGCCCATGTTATATTATAGCTTGACTGTTTTTCCCTCTTCCGGAAACCAAGTCCTCGACAATATGACGCTCGAAGTCGAGCCCGACTTTGGTGATGTCGCCTTCGAGATAAGGCTAGCGTATTCGGGTGGTGGAGCCGGTGTTTTATTTCGTCCCAAATACAATGCTACGTTGACTTATCTCCGGTTGGGTGTGGACGGGGGTTTGACGGCGCACACATTTTACGACAAGGTGTTTTACAATGCTTGGGAAATGACGTACACACTATTCGGTAGGACTTCCGTCTTGGCATGCCAGTTGCCGATGAGATGCGGTGGGTTCGGGCTTTGTGAGGATAACCAATGTGTGGGGTGCCCATCTCCAAATGGGGTGTTGGGATGGAGCAAGAGTTGTGCACCACCTAAGATAACTTCTTGTAAATCAAGTGATGTTAAATACTATAAATTGGAAGGGGTTGACCATTTCTTGATACATTACACTAGGGGAAGCGGGCCCGTGAAAGAGGAGGATTGTTCGAGGAAATGTACGTTGGATTGTAAGTGCGCGGGCTTTTTCTTCAATCGGGCCGAGTCGAGGTGTTGGGTTGTGAATGAATTGGGTACACTTGAGAGGGTCGCCAATTCGTCACATGTAGGCTATATTAAGACCTCTCTTCACTAGTGGAAAAAGATGGCTTGCTATAATAAGCCATCTATCTAATAATTAGAGTTAGGACTATCAATACTTTTTGCGAAGTCCTTTCTTTTTCTTTTTTTATTTGTGCCCCTTGCATTTATTGTTTCTTTCATTTTGATGCATCTGTAATAAAATTTGATTTTTTTTTTCTCCATGAAAAAGGAATCAATTCTTTAATGGATTTTATTTTAATACACTTTTTGCTTTAAATTTGGGCCCTTTCATGCCCCCAAGCTTTTAGGTAAATAGTCGGATTGAATTATAAATTTTAATTAGTTATTTGGATTCAATATATTGAACCATATATAATTAAAATATTCCCAGAGATCGATGCATAGTCGAATACAAAGCAAATATTCCAGGAGAATAACAACTATTCTTAATGTTTAGATATGTTATGGGAGTTATTTTCATTTTTATTTTTATTTTGGAAAATATATTTTGAGTGAGTAATTTGAGAATGAAAGTAATATTTATTTTTATTTTTTTATGAAATAAAACACATTATAGCTGTCAAATCATATTTAAAACAGTTGGGAAAACGTATTTTAGAAGAATAATTTGAAAAATAAAGTCATCAAACATGCCTTCTCTTGGTATTATATTGCATTATTAATATTCAAGCTACGTAATAAGAAAAAAGAAAGAAGGGAATACTCAAGGGCGGAACCAGATCAAAATATAGGGGACCAACTAAAATTTTGGGGTTCGAGTCAGCGTCGCGAAACAAAATTTAATTGCACAAAACATTGCATACAAAAATTATATTACTAATTTTTAATTAAAAAATCATATATATTACAATTGTATCATATTTTAACCATCACAAAAAATTCTAAATTATTTCAAATTATTCTAATAATGTATTGCACTTAATATTTCGGGGATTCATGGCACGATCTCAAGGCATTGATAAAAAAATTCAAAAATAAGTAATATTCATAAATTTTATTCAAAATAATACAAGTTTTAAGCATCTCATTTTATATTTTATATTAAATATGATATATTTAATACTTGAAATTTACATGTATTCACAAAAATCCAAGCAAGTCCTCAAACTCTACATAAACCTTAAAGTTCGATAATGTTTATAATGTTCGACAAAATTTTTGCCGCCTATAGCAAAACACGACTTTGTTTTCGGATTATGAAATGCTATTTACGGTTAGAAAACTGCTATTTGCGGTTTATAACAAAACCCCCCAAAACTTTCCAAAAAAATCCAAAAACCCCCAAAACTGCAAATAGCAGAAAAAAAAAATATCGAAAATTCGAAATCAAGCTTGAAGAAGGGTTGGGCTTCGATTTTTTGATGTAATTTCGACTCTTTTATGTGTAATATGCATTGGGTAGGTCGATTACGGAACCAATTTCATGTTAAAAAGCCCTACAAATTGATTTGTAGGCCTTTTTTTTTCTCGCAAAAATATGTTGGAACGCCCAAGATGGGCGCCCAAGGCATGTACGAACGCCCACGCCTTGGGCGCCCATCTTGGGCGTTCAATTAAAAAAAAAAAAAAAAATTTGCACTGGACGCCCAACTCGGGCGCCCAAATGCAGCTTGCACGCCCAACTTGCGCGTGCACTGCATGAATGGGCGCCCAAGTTGGGTTTTTACGCATTTTGGGGGGTTTTTGGATTTTTTGGAAAGTTTTGGGCTCTTAAAGAGATAAAGTGATTTTTTGTTATAAACCGCAAATATCAATTTTCAAAATGTAAATAGCAAGTCCCTTTCGGATTTTATAGACTATCAAGTTTCATTTTAATAATAATTCCGACTTAGTTTGAACACTAAAAATTACAGTTGCAATCTTATATTTCTCTTAAAAAATGATATATCTCGATATCTCATGAGTTCAAATTCATAAGGTAATTGAATTAATCATTGAATATTAGTATGTATATACATGTTTTTTTTTTTTAAATTATGCCGATGCATCTGAAATTTTCTTAATGATACATACTTTGCATGATACATCTCCTCTGGCAAAACGTATTCAAATGAGTAATTATGTGCTCATGGAAAAAGTGATTAGGAAGAAGTTTTCTTTTTTCTTTTTGGAAAAGTCTGAGAATGAGACTAATGTTTATTTTATATTTTAGGAGGAGACAAAAAACGACGATGTAGTAGTTAAATCATGTCTAAACATGTTAGAAAAATGTATTTTAGAAGAATAATTTATAAAAAATATATAATGTTTATTTATTCTTTTATTGTAATAGTCAGATCATGTTTACTGGAAGGAAACTTTTACAATTGTTTTTGAATTTTTTTTTCAAATTGTAATAAATGCGATTTCGTCAAAACTTGTTGCATGGGAGCTAGAATACATCTTTCGCAAATGTATTCAGGAGGTTGTGCCTCTCTTTCAGTTTCATCATGTCGTGAGGCAGGAAAATACAGTGGCGGATCGTCTGGCCAAATGGGCTTATACCCACTAATCCAGTTAAGATTTTTTTCCGGCGTCAGCTTGCCGTTTGAGGTTCGGGCTGATTCGTCAGCGACAAATTGGGCATTGCAACTTATAGTCCATGATGGGTATAATTTGATTGAGCAACCCAAATTTTACAAATTTATGTTTATTACAGTTTGACCCCCACCTGGGGTCCCAGCCGCAATTTTTGATTCTTCCACAGACCTCTTTGGAGGACAGCACCAAAATTGATTATTTGCAGTTTGACCCCACTTGGGGTCAAAACAACAATTTTCATTTTCAGCATTAACCTAGTTTAGCTTGTTTAGTTTTTTGCTTTCTTAACCCTCTTTTGGGGCATTTGTGTAATAACCTAGATATATCTCGTTATGATTTACTACTATTGCGGGTACTCTTTTTCCTTGTGTAGGCGTACAAGGTTTTGAATCCCCAAAACTCTTATCAATAATGGAATAAAAAAAAATTGTCAAAAAAAAAAAAAAAAAAATTGAGCATCTAGTAAATCCATTTACCCAATAAAAAAATATAGAAGTAGTGTTAGAAACTGTATAGTTAAAATATCTTTTTTTAAGTCAAACTACAACTGGATAATCTAATTTAATTATAGCTATTGCATGTTATCAATCGTTTTAAGGTGAAGTATAGTGAGTTCCCTCATTATTTTATTTAATTATTGTGACGAATCTTCAACTAAACTTATATAATAAACCTATTATTTTGTTAGAGAACACTCTTTCATTATTTTGTGGTGCATTATTGATTATAATTTAATTGATGAGATATATAAAGAATATTGGGATGTGTAGATTGACCTTTTTATTTAAAAACAATATGATGATGTTTGGATTCGTTTTGGGAGTTATTTTCATTTTATTTTGAGAGAATAATTGGATAAAATTAATGTTTATTTATAATTTGGGATGAAATAAAATACATTGCGGCAGTCAAACCATGTTTCAAGTTCTTCGAAAAATGTACTGTAAAAGAAGAATTGAAAAATCAAAGTAAGATTTGTTTGTTTTTTTAGTGAAGGCAGTTTTTAATGTAGCAGTAATATTTTTTTTACTATAGCAATCAAATCATGTCTGAATGAGAAATAAATTTTAGTTGTTGTTTTGAGATTTTTTTTCGAAAACCTTAACGAACACGAATTTATTTCGGGAAAGAATTAAAGTGAAATAGAAACAGAACGAAACATATTTCTATATCAGTAAAATGAAAAATGTATTAATATTCATTTATGGGAGAGACAAAAGACAAATTGCTACCAAAATTTGATTGAATTTGGGGTGAATTAACTAATCCAAAAAATAACTTATTTTTAATATAGTTTGCCTAAGAATAAAATCATTATTGTTCCCTCCATTAACAATGTAAAGCATTTCTCAAAAACAAAATATAAAATAAAGCACTATTCCCTTAATGGAATCAAATAAAATAAAAAGCATCTTTCACGGATATTCTTTAGTAGGTGTAAATATTGTACATGGGAAACAACGGCATGCAAAAAGTACATGTATTCTGCTTTTAAAGATTAGAAAACCCATTCTTTTAACTCAGAATTAAAAGCATTAATTTCAATTATGTTGAAACCAAAAAAATGAAATTTTGAATGTAATAACCTATGCCAAAAAAAAAAAAAAAATCAAATCAAATCAAATCCTAATTAGCTGATTTTTGCTTTCGTACCTGATTTAAATAAAAGGTTTGTATATCTGAATTAAATTGTATAAATTAAACTGTATATTATCCAAAATATAAATAGTGGAACTCTTTAAACTACACCACAAAATTAGTTGGGTGGGACTAATTAAAATGAATTAATATTAAAACAATATAAAAAATGAGAACGTGGCTCCGCCCCTGCAATACAATATATTAAGATAAGTTATGTGTTAGTATAATATTGATATATTTACCTTATCTTTATGGTATAAACTTCGATTATAGTGATTTAAGTTGCACAAAAAATCACCAACGAATATACAAAGATTTAAAATGTTGGGCAAATTACAACAACCCTAAGCTCAGATGAAATCACGAAAAATCTTTCATGTTTAAGAAATTTAGCAAATTACATTTCAGTTTTTACGGTGTTAAATTTACATACTGAATGATGTTTTTTTTCCGTAAGAATATACATAATTGAAGGGATAGTTAACATTACCCAAACATGAGTGGGTGTTTTGTAATTTAACATTACCTCGAAGGTATGGCCGTAATTTGCACTAAAATATTTAATCATTGGTATTGAGAACTTATATCTAATTATTACTCCACATTAAAAGCTAAAAAAAAAAAAAAATAGATGTTAAGTAGAAACTCGATAAATTAATAATCTCGAGTAACTAATAGTTTATTCTAGTCCCGACTTGGTGAAAACGTGTTATATTATTATCTCAATAATTTAATAATTCGCTAAAGTAATAGAATTTATCTGGCCTCGACTGTATTAATTTATAGATGTTTAACTGTATTAAAAAAAATCGTAACGGTGACGTATTGTGTCACTCGACTCAAACGTATATATGGTGCCATCAATAAGCAGTTACGCTTTCCCAGTATAATAATATGGAAAAGTCAATAATTTTTTCTTCCCACTTAAAAACAAATTATGATTATTCCATTAAAGAAAATGAATAAATAAATAAATAAATAAATCGATTTGTCTCTCTCTCTCTACATATCTTTTCTACAGTAATTGTATACAATTACAACTCTTCTTCACTCTCTCTTTCTCCCCTCTCTATAAATCCTCTACAGATTGCTCTACTTTCTCTCACATCTCTCTCTCTCTCTACCTCCTCCGTTTCCGATCCCCTTCTTCCCTTCGCCGGAAATCTACAATCAACCGATTCAGCATTCAGGTACACTATCGTTGACTCTTAGTCAGCACGCTTTCAATTTTGGGGAAAAAAACAGTCAATTGATGTTTACACTTTACAGTATGCATGTAAAAGCAGATGCCGTCGTTTGTTATGTTGTTTTCTCCGATGATCGAATCTGAACATTTCTTCTGTAGTTACAATCTCAATTAATTTTTATTTTATTTTTTTAAATAGCTGAGGATTGATGGCGACAAGGAATTTGGAGAAGTTGGCATCAATCGATGCTCAATTGAGGCTATTGGTCCCCGGAAAAGTGTCCGATGATGACAAGCTTGTCGAATACGACGCCCTGCTTTTGGATCGGTTTCTCGATATTCTTCAGGATTTGCATGGTGAAGATCTCAAGGAGACGGTACGCAATTTTTTTTATTTTTTTTTTATTTTTGTCCAGTTCCCATTTTGGGGATTTTGATTTTTTTTTTTTTTGGGACTAAAATGAAGTGTTGATTTTGGTTTTGATACATGAAAAGAAACTTGATCTTTGATGTGAGAGTAATATACTATAGCCATTACTTGGTTATTGTTGGCACTAATTTTTGTTGACTGGTGAACTCAAATTTGAAGTGTACGAAGCAAAATTGAATTATTATGTTAATTCTGATCTACGAAATTGTAGTTAAGATAACGTTATTGAGTAAACAATCAATCTCAACTTGATTTCGTTTTTTTAATTTTTGGGACTGGCTTGATCATATTACGAGTATATTTTCTTAAATGGTATCTTATGTTTTTTTTTTGCTCTATTATCAAAGGTGCAAGAATGCTACGAGCTTTCGGCCGAGTACGAGGGCAAACACGACCCTAAAAAGTTGGAAGAGCTCGGAAACTTACTGACTAGTTTGGACCCAGGTGACTCAATAGTCATAGCCAAAGCTTTCTCTCACATGCTCAACTTGGCCAATTTAGCTGAGGAAGTGCAAATTGCTTACCGCCGAAGGAACAAAAAGAAGAAAGGAGATTACACCGACGAAAACTCCGCCACTACCGAATCCGACATTGAAGAGACTTTTAAGAGACTCGTGTTCGATTTGAAGAAGTCCCCTGAAGAAGTTTTCGATGCACTGAAGAATCAGACAGTTGACTTGGTCTTCACTGCTCATCCTACCCAGTCTGTAAGAAGATCATTGCTTCAGAAACATGGAAGGTTCGGAAATCTCAAATTATTTTAATGCTTAAATCCAAACGAAAAACCCTTTTTTATTTAAACAGGCTAATTTGCCTTTGGATCAGGATTCGGGATTGCTTGGCCCAGTTATACGCCAAAGACATTACTCCGGACGATAAACAGGAGCTCGACGAGGCTTTACAAAGAGAGGTAATTATTTTATCTGGATTATATATAATGTTGAACGTTCAGTATTCGAATAATATATACATCAAATCTATTATATCTCTAACTATCATCTCGAATGTACATAAAGATTCAAGCTGCTTTCCGAACCGATGAGATCCGAAGAACAGCCCCGACCCCACAAGATGAAATGAGGGCAGGAATGAGTTATTTTCACGAGACAATCTGGAAAGGTGTACCCAAGTTTTTGCGGCGTGTAGATACAGCGCTCAAGAATATTGGGATTAACGAACGTGTTCCCTATAATGCCCCTCTAATTCAATTTTCGTCTTGGATGGGTGGAGATCGTGATGGTATATTTCTTTCACATTATTATACTATTAGACTCTGTTTGATTCATGGATTTTAAATTGAGGAAAATGAAAATGAAAATGCAAAAGCAAATGAAAACAAAGAATTTTAAAATCTCTAGTATGTTTAGTTTCTAAGGAAAATGGGGATGATTGATTGTGGAACATCATTTTCTTTACCTAGGATGGAGAGGAATTAGATTTGAAGAATATAGAAAACGTGTTGTTCTTTAACGTGTAGTTTTCCGGCACTTTTTTGAGGAAAGTGTATTCCTTGTTCTAGTGACAATATTTTCACTTTTTCCCCAAATCATTTTACATAGTATTTTATCTCCTAACAAGCATAAAATCTATTTAACATAGTCCTTTCATCTTCTTACTTAGTATTTTTTTCTTGATTCAAACAGAGACTTAGTTTCTCCATTACTCGGAATTGATACCGTTCATCACTATACAACATACATAATTGAAATTAATTTCCTTAGCTTTAATGTTTGAGACCTTTATTGTTCGAATTGCAGGGAATCCAAGGGTGACTCCTGAGGTCACTAGGGATGTTTGCTTGTTGGCCAGAATGATGGCTGCTAACTTGTACTATTCCCAAATTGAGGATCTAATGTTTGAGGTATATTCATTATTTTTTTTTTATAATTATTATCTTGATTTTGTTCAAGTTGAGTGGCAAGCTTTCTGACTCTACATTTCCCCCCTTTTTTTTTCTAGTTGTCCATGTGGCGCTGCAGCGATGAGCTTCGTGTTCGAGCAGACGAACTCCTTCAATTTTCGAAACAAGACGCCAAGCATTACATAGGTTTGCATCCACAATCTACAAACTTCTAGAACTATCTATTTACGCATCATTATGCCCTCTCTAAACATTTACGTTCTATTTTGTGATGCAGAGTTTTGGAAAACGATCCCACCAAACGAACCCTACCGTGTCATCCTCGGTGAAGTGCGTGATAAGCTCTACCAAACCCGCGAGCGCTCCCGCCATTTACTAGCTCAAGAAACATCCGACATCCCAGAAGACGCAACCTATATCAACATCGAGCAGTTCTTGGAGCCGCTCGAGCTCTGCTACAGATCCCTCTGCGCCTGTGGTGACCGCCCCATTGCCGATGGCAGCCTCCTCGATTTCCTCCGGCAAGTCTCCACCTTCGGCCTCTCCCTTGTACGCCTCGACATAAGGCAAGAATCTGACCGACACACTGACGTCCTAGACGCCATCACCAAACACCTAGACATCGGTTCTTACAGAGACTGGTCCGAAGATCAGAGGCAAGAATGGCTTTTGTCTGAGCTCTCCGGCAAACGCCCCCTCTTCGGCAACGACCTCCCCAAAACCGAGGAGGTTGCCGACGTTTTGAACACATTTGCCGTCATCGCAGAGCTGCCGTCGGACTGCTTCGGAGCTTACATCATCTCCATGGCCACATCGCCATCCGATGTGCTGGCGGTGGAGCTTTTGCAGAGGGAGTGCCGCGTGAAGCAGGCCCTACGGGTGGTCCCGCTTTTCGAGAAATTGGACGACCTGGAGGCGGCACCCGCCGCCATGGCGCGCCTCTTCTCCGTCGATTGGTACAGGAATCGTATCGACGGCAAGCAGGAGGTTATGATCGGGTACTCCGATTCTGGCAAGGACGCCGGCAGACTGTCGGCAGCATGGCAGCTGTACAAGGCTCAGGAGGAGCTTATTAAGGTTGCCAAGGAGTACGGCGTGAAGCTGACTATGTTCCATGGCAGAGGTGGAACTGTTGGACGAGGGGGTGGGCCCACTCACCTTGCTATTTTGTCTCAACCGCCAGACACTATCCATGGATCTCTACGGGTTACTATTCAGGGTGAGGTCATCGAGAAGTCGTTTGGAGAAGAGCATCTATGCTTCAGAACGCTCCAGCGGTTCACTGCTGCCACGCTGGAGCACGGTATGCACCCACCTGTGGCCCCCAAGCCCGAGTGGCGGGCCCTACTCGATGAAATTGCAGTTCTTGCAACCGAGGAGTACCGTTCCATCGTCTTCAAAGAGCCTCGTTTTGTCGAGTACTTTCGCCTTGTAAGGACCTACAAAATTCTTTTTGTTTTGAAATTATATTTTATTTGATATAATTACTGAAATTTGTGGATTCTTTTTTTAGGCGACGCCGGAATTGGAGTACGGGCGGATGAACATTGGGAGTCGTCCGTCGAAGAGGAAACCGAGCGGAGGTATCGAGTCGCTGAGAGCTATTCCGTGGATCTTCGCGTGGACACAGACGAGATTCCATCTACCCGTTTGGCTGGGCTTTGGCGGTGGATTCAAATACGCAATCGAAAAAGACATTCGTAACCTCAAAATGCTGCAAGAAATGTATAACCAGTGGCCTTTCTTCAGGGTCACAATTGACTTAGTGGAGATGGTTTTCGCAAAGGGAGACCCAGGCATTGCTGCCCTCTACGACAAACTCCTCGTTTCTGAAGACCTGTGGTCGTTCGGCGAGCGGTTGAGGTCCAACTATGAGGAAACAAAGACTCTTCTCCTCCAGGTAATTTAACTTTATTTAACTTAATTTAACATATAAATATGGTATTTTCAAGAAAGTTTGAAAAAAATGTGTTTGTATTTATTAAATAGATTGCTGGGCATAAGGATCTTCTAGAAGGGGACCCGCATTTGAAGCAGAGGCTTCGTCTGAGAGACTCGTACATTACAACGTTGAACGCATGCCAGGCGTACACGTTGAAGAGGATTCGTGACCCGAACTACCATGTGAAGCTGAGGCCTCATATTTCCATGGAGTATATGGAATCGAAAGCTGCTGAACTTGTCAAGCTGAATCCGACAAGCGACTATGCACCTGGTTTGGAGGATACACTTATCTTGACCATGAAAGGTATTGCTGCTGGATTACAGAACACCGGTTAATTTTATGCCGCCTCGTTTTTTCCTTTTCTTTTTATGGAATAATAATGATAATAAATAATACTATTATCGAAAGGACTATATGATAGTCGTGTACTTTGGAAACCAAGAACTTCAATGTTGATGAATCAGTCGATTTGATCTATTTTTCATGATTACTTATGAGACTATGCGTTGTTAAATCGATTTGTGGGTTTTTTCCCCGTTTACTCTATGCGACTATGCGTTGTTACATAAATTGCAGAACAACCCTACACCAATATATATACATAAGAAACCAGCAAATGTCACAAAATATTGGAGTTGAAACAATCAAACTCTACATGGGTGGGTAAAACTCCAACCAAAGGGTCTATACAAAATCCAATCTTTCGACACGAGCTCCAAGTAGTCGAAGCTTCGTCTCCAAATTCTCGTAACCACGGTCAATATGCGACAACCCATTAACTTCGGTAATACCCTCAGCAGCTAATCCAGCCAACACTAACGACACCCCGCCTCTTAAATCAGCAGCAACAACTCTTGTCCCACTCAATTTACTGTCAAAACACAGATCGATGATTTATATTACTTTTGAGGATAAATACGATATAGATGCTGAAATATATACGGATGTCCAGATAGAGTTGGAAAACTTACTTTCCTTTCTCTAGTCCATAGATCAATGCAGTACTCCCACAAACCTGTATTTTGGCTCCAAGCTTCTCCAATTCTTTCACTATAAAATAAGAATCGAACAAGTTAAAGTTGGGCCTCGTTTGGTTGCAACCATAAGACTATCTAAGAAAAAAGATATTTGAAATCGTATTTTACGTACCATGAGTCATGCGGTTTTCAAACACGGATTCTTGGACAATGCTTAAACCATTGCATGTCGAAAGCAACGCCATTGTCTGAGGTTGGAGATCCGTAGGGAATCCCGGGTAAGGAAGTGTTCTTATATCAAAACCTCGTAATTCCTCTTTACTGCTCGAAAGCTGACGTAACAAAAATATAACAACAAATCAGCTAATTCATCACTCGTATATTTATATACGAGGAGAGAGAGAGAGTTGTATACCTCCAAAGTGTCGTGATTGTGTGTAATTTTGCATCCAGCATATAATAGCTTGTCAATCAAACTCGATAGCCAGTTAGGAAAAACAGGCGAGAGAGAAATGGAAGATCGAGTAATTGCAGCAGCAAGTATGAAAGTGCCCGTTTCAATTCGATCCGGCATAAGTCCATATTCCGTGCCGTGCAATCGATTATTTCCGTAGATGCAAATCTTGTCCGAGCCCACACCTTCCACTTGGGCCCCACTCTTCATTAGGAAGCAAGCAAGATCATATATTTCCGGTTCCTGCAATAATAAAAAAATAATAAAAAATCAGCAAGTAGCAAATACGTGTCTCGATTTGCTAATCGGTTGAACACTTAAATGTCTTCCGGTCGGTTTTTATCCATAATTATTACATGTCAAAGATATGTGGGGGGTTGCCTATATAATCGTACTCGAGCGACATTCGAGAGGAGTGTTTTCCCTTCGGCCAAGCACGCTGCCATCATTAGAGTTTCGGTTGCTCCCACGCTAGGGTAGTCGAGTCGAAACTTCCCGCCAACAAGTCCTTTCCCATTTGCAGCATGTGCCACCACTTTGTTCTCCCTGTAGTAATACAATTATAGTAATACAATTACAGTTACACCTTTATAAATTAATACAATTGGGACTAGGGAAATTCTACTAATTTAGCAAATTATTAAATTATCGAGTTAATAATTTAACCCGTTTTCACTAATACAATCGGGAACAGGGAAATTCTACTAATTTGGCAAATTGTTAAATTATCGAGTTAATAATTTAACACGTTTTTTACTAATACAATTGGGACCAGGGAAATTCTACTAATTTAGCAAATTATCAAATTATTAAGTTAATAATTTAACACTGTTTTCACCAAATCGGAATCCACATAAACTATTATTTAATCGAGGTTATTAATTTATCAAGTATTAATTTATCGAGATTCTAGTATAGATGTATTCATTTATCGAGATTCTACTATAGATGTTTTACTACATCAGTTTCATAAATAATTAATGGGATGCGTAAACACACAAACCTAACTTCAACAACAGCGCCAAGAGCCCGAAGCCCGCGAATGTAGATATCCACGGGCCGGGCCCCAATATCGCAACCACCGGGCAAGGCGACGACGGCCTCACCGAATCGGCCGAGCAAAGGTCCGACGACGAAAAAGCCACCTCTGATATCGCCGACGAGTGCAGCATCGGGCTCCACGGACCCGACCCGATCCGAATTCACGATGACGTCGTTGCCGGAAAACTCAATTTGGGCACCCAAAGAGCCCAAAATGGAGGCCATTGTTCGCGTATCGGACAAATTGGGGACGTTTGTGAGCTTCGAAGAGCCGGAGCAGCAAAGGGTGGCGGCCAATACAGACAAAGCTGAGTTCTTGGAGCCGCTGATGGGAACATGGCCGGAGAGCTTGGCGCCGCCGGTTATCATGAGTTTCGGATCTGGGTCGGCGGGGAGAGGTGGTGGCTTCTGAGGGAAGTTGGTTTGGGGTTTCGTGTGTTGTGGGATTGGGAGAATGAGAGAAGGGTTTGGGTTTGGGTTTGGGTTCGGGTTGAAATTTGAAGCCATTTTCTTGCAGGGGCGAAACAATGGGGTTTGGTTTTGGGAAGATGGACGCAAAGTTCAAATGACTTTTGTTGTTCGGAGAAACGGCATTTTTCAAAAGTATAGGGGTTTATTTGTAAATATATATAAGTTTTTATTTATTATATAAATTATTTTTATATATTTTTATGTAAGTACAGTTAAACCTCTATAAATTAATACAGTTGGGACTAGACATGGCCACGGGTCGGGTCTGACCCGGACCCGGCCCGGACCCGACCCATTGACTGCCCCGCCCCGCCCCGGACCCGGCCCGTTGACCATGGACCCGGACCCGGACCCGGCCAAGTATGGGTCGGTTTCGGGTCCCGACTTCTTGGACCCGAGACCCGCCGGGTCTACCCGGCGGGTGGACCCGAAGACCCGGACCCGAGGGCCCGGCCCGAGGACCCGTCGGGTCCACCCGGATTTTTGATGAATTAATCACCAAAAATGCAGCGACTGGGGTTCGAACCCTGGTAGCCCGAATCATTCACTGAGCACTAACCACCAGGCCAACCAATATGTTTGATTAAATATAGACAAGAAATGTATATAATATAAACCTATGGCGTAAATGATAAATATGTTAAATAAATTATTAATTTTCATATTAATTATTATTAAATAATTTTAATTAAATAATTAACAAATGCAATATAAGAAAAATATATATAATCACAATTCAATACTTCAAAACATCTATTATTAATTAATATATCAATATAAGCTCCACTGTTGAAAAATATAAAGTATTGAATCAATTCAATATATAAACAAATGCGTTGACTTATTAAAAATTGACTTATGTTATTAAAATCGATAGTGTGAAAAAATCGAATGAAAAATAAAATAATATGTTTATTTAAAAAAACAAATTATAACCCATTTCAATTAATTTAAGTCGATTAACCTCAATTGTTGACAATAACTTATTAATATTATTGAGTATTTTATCATAAGATAATTATTTATATAAATGGTGTTTATTTTAACAAAAATAGATTATATCCCATTTCAATTAATATTCTTACTTTAAAAATAACATTATATATGACTAGTATAATCAAAATATTATGATGTAATTTCTGTTTTAATAATTGATTTAATTTGTAAAAATCGTAGGAATTAAATTGTAGACCATATGATTTAATCGTTTTTTTACATATACATTTTATTCAAATATTAGAATCGAATCGTAAGATTTAAATGGATTAATCTAAAGTCCTTTTAATTTTGATATTATATTTGTTAATAATGTGATTAAAATGGTTTAATAATTATGAATATGAAAATTAACAATGCATTTAACATTATTTATTATAATCATTTCATACTGTTTTGTTTATGTTTATGTATATTTCTTGCAAGTAATTTCACAAATATTAATCTTGTCTCAGTGGTTTGGAATTCTGTTCAGGTGTCTTGAGACCCGGGTTCGAATTCCATCCATAGCAATTTTGGACAAAATTTAAAAATCCGGTCCAGACCCGGACCCGGCCCGGAACCGACCCGGAACCGGGTGGACCCGAGTGGACCCGGCCCGGACCCGGACCCGCCTTCCCGCGGGTCGGTTTCGGGTCCTCCAAAACTCGGACCCGGACCCGGCGGGTCCGACCCGGAACCGGACCCGACCCGACCCGGGGCCATGTCTAGTTGGGACCATCAAAATTTCATTAATTTAGCGAAGTATTAACTTATGGATAGATTAATAATTATTAATTTATACATTAATTAATAAATTATTAATTTATGAAATTACTTTTATTATTATTTTCAGTAAATACATTTTTTTTTTTTAAATTACGAGTATATTATTCATCGTACCATTAGTTCAATGCATTATAGAGCCCGTTTCATGAACGGAAGCTCTTAAAGCAGCAATAGTATAGAACGATTTTATGTTGACTTACCGAGAAAACTATACCGCAAGTTTTAACCATGTTAAGGAAAGTGAGGGACGAGATTGATGGTAATGTGAACTTCAACAAGAAACAAACAACAATTAAATTATACTGTATTAAGCTTTTATAGATCTATAAAATATGTACTATACCATGTAATTTAAGAATTATTTTTATGCATTTATTAATTTATATATTATATGGGGCTTCTTAAATTTTTCGAATGTGTATTATCTTATAAATTTAGCGAATTATTAATTTAGCACGTTGCCCCCGAGTCGGGACCGGGAAAATTTATTATTTAAGCGAGGTTATTAATTTATCGGGTATTAATTTATCGAGGTTCTACTGTATATTCAAATAAATTTATTATCAACCATCAATTTACGATTGATCCTAAAATCATGTAAATAATTGGGGAAGGAAAAAAAAAAAAAAAACTAAAAATTTATTATTCACACGTGTTTCTAACTTTCCAGAATTTGTAAGATAATTCATAAGGTGGTGTCCGACACAAAACGTGTCCGAAAGATGAAAACTTTGAGAAATTGAAGTTTCTATATTGCATCGGTAGGAATGTGAATAGTGTTCGATGTAAGATCCAATAATTTGGGTGTTGGTTTTGAAATGCTGAAAGCCAAATTAAAAGTTGCTACTTCACTAGTTATATGTAGAATTTAATTATTTACATAAGCTAAACACAAAAATATTAAAATAATATATATAGGATTTAATTAATTACCTCAGTTTTATTTTGTAATATCTTAATTGTTCAATGCTTATTTTTAGTCTATGCAAATTTGATTGTAAATATTTATTGAATAACTATTATTTGTTACACTATATACATATATTTATTTTATATAATGAATCAAACATTTATTATAAAAAAAATAGTAAAATATGGCGTTTCTATATTCATTATTTACGACGACCAATTTAAAGTTGATGGAAAATAGTTTTTAATTATGATTTATGTTGATATATACCAAAATTATTGCAACATAAGAAATGTATGTTAAAAAAAGAAACAATTAAATTAAATAAAATATTGGCCTTACAAATAATATTGTTCTGAGTAAAAGGTTGAACGAGTTATTCTCTCCTTAGACACCACAAAAAAAGTAGTAGGAGTTGAGAAAGAATCGCTCCACCATTCTCTTTATCATTCTTCTCCTCCTATAAAAACATCACTCCATCAATTCCATTACAACACACACAACAAGAGAAGAAATAAAACAAATAAAAAAAAATTAATAAAACAAATAAAAATAAATAAAAGCATCTAGACGAGACAAAAAAAAAATGGCAAAGGCTGTCGCTCTCGTCTCCGTGCTCTGCATTGTGGCCCTCGCCGCCGCCTCCGTCGCACACGCCCACCAACGAAACGTCTTCAACATCGAAGGCGATGTCTACTGCGACCCTTGCCGAGTCCAGTTCCACACTGAACTCAGCAAAAGGATCCCTGGTAAACTTATCTGTTCATCGCAAATAATTTTTTTTTTATATATTTATAACCGCCCTCCGGTCAAATTTTTTATTTATCCTTGCATGAAATCCCATTTTCCGTTATAACAAATGCAGGCGCAACCGTGAGATTGGAGTGCCAAAACGAGGAAACAAAGGCGGTGACGTACTCCGTGGAGGGGTTGACCAACGCAGACGGGCACTACAGCCTAAGAGTGGACGGGGACCACGAGAAGGACGTGTGCGTGGTGAAGGCCATCAAGAGCCCGATAGCCGAATGCAGCGAACCAATGACCGACGTCCGGGAATCAAGGATCGTGTGCACCAACAACATCGGAATGCACTCCGCCGTCAGATTTGCTAATCCCATCGGTTTCATGACCAAGGTTGGAAGCCCGCAGTGCATCCCGGTCCTCCAGGACTTCTTCGCCGATGATTAGAAAATTCGTCGTTGATTCTTCGCAGCTTTTGCCGTTTTTTTTTCTATTTTTTTATTTTTATTTTTGATTGATCGAATAAAGGGATTGGCTTTTGGCTTCTCCTGTTATGTGTAATTTGGCATTTGTTCTAATGCCAAAATAGAAAAAGAAAAAAAAAGTTACATACATAATTAAATAAATGAAAAAAGCCAATTTCATTAATAGTTATCGTCTCTGTTTGACCATCTCCTTTCATAAACTAGAATTAACATGGTATTTTTTTTTATCAAATTTTATCTCTGACAGCAAAATGTTGATCTTCAATTGATTAGATTTTGTATTACATCTGTTACATCATAGTATTATAGTTTGAAGGATAAAATATTTTTTTACTTGTTTAGTCACCGTCTGTTTAAATTAATATGAGGAGTGCTACTAATTCAATGAACTACAAACAGTTAATTATGTATTTTTCTATGTGGTCGACGGGGTGTTATGCATTATGTGAACACTCAGGGACTCGACTCATTCGAATTGAAGTTCATTGCCAATTTTCGAAATATCATTGTCATGTTTTGTGAAAACACTCAATGTTCGAAATTTCACACTAATTTTCAACCAAGTTAAATAAGTTAATTATCATTTTTTCAGAAATTCACGGTCATAGTTTATTAAAATACTCAATATATAAAAGTTCACCATCTAATTTTCAGTCGATTTCATAAGTCCGCCGTCGATATTTTTACAAGTTTACTATCAAATTTATTACATACTAATTTTATATATTTACCGTGAGTTTGAACATATGTAGTAATAAAAGAACTATAAAATTCTATTAGATTGAAATCTTAATTATCAAACTATAAAGATAAAAAAAAAAACTAATAATTACCATAATTGGTGAAAAAAAATAGTAAAAGCCTAATCTCGCTAGAATTTATGGAATTAAAATTTGATTCTTATGTTAAAAGTTATTACCATTAAAATAGTTAGAAATGGAATGTAAAAATTTACTTACATAAGGCTTAAACAACATCCGATTGCATATATTTGACGTAGTTTTGCGTAGAAATAGAGTACATTACATATAATATATGTAACCAATGACAATGTAGTTACACCACCAAGAGCCTCTTCTATAATAGTGTTAGGTAAGAGGTCGGTGGTTCGAATCCCTATGAATGCGTGTGTTGGAAGTATGTGTTGTAAATTGTAATCCATATTGTAAGACCAATTTAAAACAAAAAATGTAGTCACAATATATATTTAAGAGACTAGCTAAAATAATTAAGCAAATGGAAGCTTAGCCAGCCTTAAAACCACTAATTTTTAATTAAATCGTAAAACAAAGGACTTTAATTAATTACAATCTAAAATGGGGGTCTCATTTTGGCTTAATAGCACATATCTAGGCAAGGACTATTAGCTAATTACTTCACTTGATTAAATTCTATCAACCAAATTATTTTCCGGTCAACGCTTTGACCATCCAGAGTCCCATCTTTTTTTTTTTCCATTCACATAAATATAAATATAATAAAAAGGGGCACCACCGAATTTCCCACGATCGAACTATTTTCTCTTTTTCCCCAATTTCTAGTGAGAGAAAGCTGAGAATAATTGGCTTAGTTAGCGTAAACTCTCCGAACTCGAAGAACAGAGAAAAGTAGAAAGAGGAGAAGCTTGCAAATCAAATCCAATCCAATCCAATTCAAATGGCCAACAGCAATTTACCGCGTCGAATCATCAAGGTACAGCGTCCGATTTTCCTGTTGCAATGTTTTTATCCCTCTATTTGATTTCTCTCTAAACCCTAGCGTTGAAGTTATAATTGTGTTCGAATTGTTCGTTCGTTCGTGGGGTTTGATTTATTTATTTATTTATTTTTTAATTTATTTAATTGATTGACACATGTGCTTCAGGATTTCGATTTTGATTTTGTTTTCCTTTTTGTCTTTGGTTTCTAATAGGAGACGCAGCGTCTTCTCAGCGAACCAGGTAAACCCTTCAATCTTCGTGCAGGCATGCCTTGGAAATGGATTCATGCTTGATCTTAATTTGGACGAGCTAAAATAAAACAAAAAGCTCTTTCTTTTTCTTTTTTTTTTTTTTTTTTTTTGTGATTCTAAATGTCAGTAGTTTTTTTTCAGTCCTTTTTTTTTCTTTTTCTTTTCTGTGGTTCGTCGATGAAGCTTATTGTTGTATTTATTCTGTTTTATAGGCTTTTAATTTGGGTTATATGTGGAATTCTTTTCTTGGGTAGAATCGATATTTGGTGCATATTGAAAATCTAAGGGGATGATTGGTGTATTTAGGAATATAAATAGCTAGCAATGTAGTATTTTTTGGGGTTGGAATGAATATGAGAAGGAGCTATGCAAGGATTTCATTTTTAGTTGGTTTATTTTTTATTTTTTTACATTTGGGAGAATACTTTTGTTAAAATTAACGACAGTGTTTATACCTGATTTAGGAATTGTGATACCTAGGAGGAAATCACTAATTCAATACATTTTCGGGAGGCGCACTAGCAGTAATTACGCGTGCATGTTTTCTAATTAACATGGCCATGTCTTTTTTTCTGTTTTGATTGTACTTTATTCTGAGGTTATTACACGTGTTTGCCCTGTTTCTGCCTCTTACGGTTTCCTTATTAAGTTGAAATGATTTCTAGATTGCTGTCAATTTTTCAGAATTCTAGTACTCGATATGAAGCATGATCTCGTAGTTTCGTAGTTATGTCTATTCGTTCTTCGCTGGTTGCTCTTTATTGTATCGATTATAAATTTTTGAGTTATTCCTGTTTTTTACTAACCGGGAATTATATTAAACTTTAAGGCAATTGAACATTTTTTTATGCATGAATGCAGCACCAGGAATAAGTGCATCACCTTCAGAAGAAAATATGCGGTATTTCAATGTAATGATTCTTGGTCCAACACAGTCTCCTTATGAAGGTAACAAAATTATCATTTTCTCTTATCTAAATAAATGCTCTCTGTTGACTTAATAAATGTTCTTTAAGGATGATATATCCAGTTTGTGCTCTTTTCGGTGCATGTGGTGCAATTATTCATTGTTAACCATTGTGTTCTAATGTCGAGTATATCACATAAATCGTTCTTATGTGGTCCTTGTTCTTTCAGTTCTTCTCTGTATTGAAACTTACTTAGGTCTAGTAAATATAAGGGGTTTTGCTAAGAAATTTAAATCTGTGTCCTCTTCTTCGTGTCTTTAGCCGATGCCTTGCTTATTTAGATTCACTTAACTGTTGAAGTTTTTCAAACTAGTACAAATCTATCAAGTCTCTCTCTCTCTCTCTCTCTCTCTCTCTCTCTCTCTCTCTCTCTCTCTCTCTCTCTCT